ACAACAAGTTCCTTCCCTTAGAAAATCCAGTCAATGGGACTTGCATAGAAAAAAAAAAACTCTGGATGAATATATATCAACCTGTTAATATTGATTACCTGGACAAAGCTTTTCTGGGGGACTTCTACTTTCTATATTATACATTTCAGTATTTCTAAGTGTTTTTATTTTTTTTTAAGATTTTATTTGAGAGAGAGAGAGAGAGAGAGCGCGCGTGCGCACAAGCTGGGGGAGGGGCAGAGGGAGAGAGAGAAGCAGACTCCCCGCTGACAAGGGAGCCCAATGCAGGGCTGATCCCAGGACTCTGGGATCATGACCTGAGCCAAAGGCAGGCGTTTAACCAACTGAGCCACCCAGGCGCCCCTCTAAGTGTTTTTAAAGAGCACATATACATACTTCTGTAAACAGAAAACAAAACAAAACAAAACCCAGACTTTTTTAAAAAAGTTCCAACAAGGGGGCGCCTGGGCGGCTCAGTCGTTAAGTGTCTGCCTTCAGCTCAGGTCATGATCCCAGGGTCCTGGGATCGAGCCCCATGTTGGGTTCCCTGCTCCGCGGGAAGCCTGTTTCTCTCTTTCCCACTCCCCCTGTTTGTGTTCCCTCTCTCACTGTGTCTCTCTCTGTCAAACAAATCAATAAAATCTTAAAAAAAAAAGTTCCAACAAGGAGATCAAGAACATTTTCTTTTCTCCTCTTTCACAAGTGTGGATTAGAGACGCTAAAGGAAGAATTATATCCCTTCCTCTCACCTTCATCTTTGCAGGAAGTGAAGGTATTAAACAGGTTCTAATTTCCTGGAACCTTATCTAATTAGCGTTCAGCATTTTCCTCAGGTCTTGGCAGCCAGGGATAGCCAGACTCTGTAACCCTTCACCCCTGGAGTTGTTCCAATGGGCTTATCCTCTCAAGGGTATTTGGTCCTTCTTTATGAACAATCTTGTGAGCATGTTAGTCTCAGCTTTCCAATTAGTGTTTTTTAAACATTTTAACTCAAATTCCCTCAGAGCCAAGTCCAAGAGATGAGGTCAAAGAAGCCTTTTTTTCCCTCAACCTGCACAGTTCCAAAGCCAAATCTGACCAAGACAAGTATTATCAGAAAACTGGGATGCATCAGTAAGTGAGGTCTTGGACTTCATGCTCTTCCCCTATAGCCCTCCCATACACTCCTTCCCTTGGCTTTTGCCACCACTCCGTGCTCCAACAATGAATAGGCTATTATGCTGAAGCATTATTTCTGCTTACAATCTCCCATATCTTCCAAGCCAAGAGGTTGAAGCAATTTGAAATTAATACTGGCCAGACTGGGCCTGAAAGCAACTCCCTTGGGACAATGTTTTGATCTTACCCTACAGCTAAGTTAGCCCTGTCTGATCCCATTTTACTCTGCTTACCTTTACAGACTGTTCGGGAAGATGCAGCAAGCTATTTGCTGAGCCCATTTGGACCAGGCCTATAAATGGTTATAGATTCCTGAAATTTTCTGAATTTCAGGGTAGGAGGGGCCCAGGTAGGACAATATTGTTCCTAGAAGGGGGTGGAACTTAAAGTTTCATTTACATAGGATTTATACGACTGAGAAAATATCATTAGACAAATTAAAAATGGGAGGGACAGGAGGGTCATGTACTACTGAAGTCCCACTCCCTTGCCCCTGGTTCCTTCTTGGTTGGCACTGCTATAGAATAAGAAAACAGGGCACAAGCAGCAAGAAGAAATCCTCTTAATTTCTCACAACTGCCTTGGATATGGTATTACTCTAACTCAAAAAACATGGAGCATCTACACATTTTCTCTAAGGATACCCCTACTCGGTAATATATCCACTGTTGTCTCAAATGTTGGCATAGGAAATGACCTCCTGCCAGCAAGTTGGTTAAGAGTGCCTTAGAAATTTTCCACCTGAACATATAATCATTTGAAGCTGGACCCTAACTTTACAGGGGTCCAGTGAGCTGCTGAGACAGGTCCCTGTTGTATGTTCAGATATGTTTTTATGCAGGACTCCTAGTTCCTGGAAAGAATGTTCATTTGACTTAAAAAAATGTAAATAAATTAAAATATTTCCTCATACTAAAATCAGATAAGTCAGAGGGCAAGATTGGAAATACTCTTCACAAGCCATGGAGTAAAATGCTAAGAAATGATCCTGAAATCAAGTGAAAAGGCAAATTTTTCTGATTCATATAGCAAAATTGAGAAGCAAGGTCAGGAAGGGCAAATGAAGGCATCTCAGGCTAGATGACAGTCTTGCTGAAGCTGTGCAGGCCCTAGGGCACCAGTTTCCCTCAGCAGGCCACAGAATCTGCTTTGTGCCCAGTAGGAAATACTGCATTATTCCAGTTAGTTTTACAGTGTGTTCATATATTCTTCTATAGATATGTGAGCATCTTAGTATGGTTTATGTTTTTAAGTATCTTGCATTATAGGTAATCTTAATAAGTATTTAAAAATCTAAACTTGTAAAACAGGTTACAGGATGATGTTTTACAAAGCAAAATTTATTTTTAAAGAGATTTACTTCATGTTGCATAATCCCCTAGAGCATTTAAAAAATGTGAATTTGAATTACAAATTCAATACATATGTTACAGAAACCAATATAATTTAAATTTGATTACAAACTATATACAACTTTTGAAAAAGTTACAGTATAAATCTATAATAAAATATTAAGTAGAAGAAAAACTGACTTCAAAAATATGAATATAAGAATTTATTTCTGATTTATTTCTTTTATAAAAGAGGATAAAAAGATTTTAAAAGGTGCTAATAAGACATGAACTTAGGTAAAAGGCAAAAACTGAGGTAAAAGACCTACAAAACAATAATTAATCGCAATTAATAAAAATATTTTAACATTACAGTATGAATTTTGGACACAGAAACTGAAGGTATTAAGAAGTTATCCTTTATTTCTTGAACTCTGGTTTTGAAAAACTACTCAACATTTTATTCAAGAATCCCAAGCACAAAATCTGAATATTGGTGGGAATTCAAATCAGTAAAGAACCACAATATAATTAACCTTCATTTTACAGGTGGGAAGATGGGCAGAAATGGAGTAGAGAAGTGAGTCAGTAGTGGTTACTCATCTAAATGAAAGCACTCTAATACCCTGACTCTCTAGGATCACAGAATGCTAGAATTGCAAGGGACCTCAGATGTTGGTGGTCTAGCCTTTTATCTTGTTGGCATTTATCTCATAAACTGATGATTTTGGAGGACACATACTGGCAACTTTGAATTCTTTTAATGTCAGAGGGATATAGCATGAGATAAGCCAAATCAGGTCAGTGGATGAGCTACATAACCTGAGCAAGTTCCCATCTGTGTCATTTCTAGCTCATCCTAGATACCCACATTCTATGGCGAACTTATTGGGCATTTCCTCACTGGATCCCACTATGATGGGGCCACCTGATTCCACATGGTGTTTCCTTTTCCTTTTCTTTCTAGTAGCAGGGGAACAGAGCAGATATACCATATTCAAAAGTCCTCTCTCTGGAACTGATCTGAGAAAAAGGTGGAGCTTGAAGTAACCTGTGGGAGTACTTTTCATTCTCATCCTTGCACATCTTACTTACCTCAGTGGAAAACATTATTTCTCTTTATCTTTCAAGGTGACCCAAAAGCATCCAAAACTGGGTCTCCAAGAGGTATAGCATGTGTCCTCTAATGAACTGCCACAATCATTCTTTGAAAGTAAAAATATCAAACTATGTAGTCATTAAAAAGAATGAGTTTGAACTAAGATTTGATGTTTATAATGAGTGCAAAAAGCAAGTCCTAACAGTAAGTATGTGAGTCCATTCAAAATATTTACACATATTTGCCTGTAAAAGGCACAGAATGATGCACACAGTGGCTGACTGGAGAGCTGGACTGTGGTGCACAGAGAGGGTTAGGAAGGGGACCTGGGCTTTTTTCCTTTATTCATTTCTGAATTGTCTGGATGTTTCACCAAGTGTGTACTTAAATTCTTAAAAATTAATTAGGGAACATCACACACATCCACCAAGAATCTTTATCAGTCTTTACTGCATTAAAAGTCTGGGAAACCGTTAAATTCTTGGTTTGACTGGTTCCATGGAGAGTTCAATTCCTTCACCAGACATAAATACTAGCTTCTTTGCCTGGCACCAGGCTACTAAGATCAATAACACCTGGTCTATGACAGGATGGAAATCTGCCCCAAAATGTAGCTAAGAGGAAAAGTGATTTTGGTAAGAATGGGCACCATCGTCACTAGGGATACAACGGCACCCTCACTTGTCTCATAATTGGCCTTCTGTAGGCTTCATCTTTCGGCAGCACCATCCTCTCATTCTTAAAAGTCAGATTTACGATTAAGAATCCAATTAATACCATTGAGCGGGAAGTGTCCTTGGGGAAAGAGAAGTCCCCGGAACAGACCCACTGGGGTATCCAGAATTGATTCTGCAGCTACAAAGATTCCTGTCTTACCTGGAGTCCCTGCTGAGTAATGTAATTTCTGGGACAGCATAGGGGCAGCTGGTGACTTTGAACCAAATTTTACCTTTCGACTCAATTCAGGGAAATTGCAAGAGAGTGCCCGACGATGCAAAGTGCTATGTTGAACGCTAGATTGTGCTTTATTTTTTCCTCCCAACTTCACGTTTCCATGCACCAAAATCTTGATGCTACAAATATTGGATGCCACGCTTACCTGACAGGCTTCATCCATCCCACCTGGGCTCAGGGGCTCTGAGCGAGCGCGCGAATCGTGGCTGGAGCCCGCCTTTCGCGACCGGAGCGGGCTCGGCGGGCCTCGGGTTCCCCTGCTGGCCCCAGCGCCGGAGCCGCTTTGCTGCCGGGGCTCCCGCAGTCAGCCCCCGGCGCGCACGCGCGCTCCCCCGGGGCGGCCCCGGCGCCTCCAGTCTTCGGCAGAGCTGCGACTGGACAGTTCCAGAGGGCGGGGCGGGGCGGGGCGGGGCGGGGCGGGGCGGGAAGGCAAAGGAATGCTCCGCGACCACGTGATCGGCGCTAACATGGCGGCGCCCAGCGGCGTCCACCTGCTCGTGCGCGGAGGTAAGCACCTGGAGAACCGCACCGCAGGGGTTTGCACGGTAGCTCACTCGCTAAGCACCCGGGTTCAAAGGGGTTACACACCCGCGCTCAAACATTTCGGCGCACACGAATGTACTTTCAGTTCTACCGATACACGCAGACACACAAGCTGACACAGGGACACGCAGCAGGAACACGACACATTTATTCACTCGTCATTTGCCTGGACCGCGTCACTGCGTGGCATCTATTCGCAGTCACTCCTTGAGGTTTATGGAACGTTGTCTGAAGTTTTCTTCCCCCATCAGTTGTATGATTAGTGTAGCAAACTTACTTATTTTGGCTGCGGAGCGATGAACCTACGGTAACTCGGGAACGCGCCTGGATACCCAGTTGCCACAGAGAAAGCAATTGTTTTGTTGTATCTCTTGGCATGATACAATACGTCTTTTGGGAAACTTGCAACATGTGATCATTCTGTTACAGTGACTTAAAGTGAAGAAGCGAAGAAATCATGCCCGGGTAGCTCTCAGTAGGTGTTACCCTTGCGTGAATGGTGAGACTTTAGTAAATGTGCAGGTACTTTTGGAGGTAAATTAGGGAAATCCTTGTTAGATTTGTTCTGAATCTTGGTTAGAAAGAATAGGAAGTTGTTTCAAGGATTGGGAAAGAGGGGAACTAACATATTTTGAGGGACTGCTTAGGTGTCAGGCACATAGGAACAGCAGTCCTGTGTGGTAAATATTTTCATAGTAAATAGCTACCGTTTATTAAGTGTTTTTTTAAGTACATGGTACTGTGTCAGCACCTTATATATGCTAGCTACCTTTTAAAACCCAATGAGTTAGTGCGTGCTTCAGCAGCACCTATACTAAAATAGGAACGATACAGAGATTAGTGTGGCCCCTGCGCAAGGATGATGTGCAAATTCGTAAAGCGTTCCATATTTTTTGGAATTAGAATTTTAAGATCATTAAGTAAATAAAGGAACACTGTACTGTGAAAAGGAAATAAATAAAACCCAATGAGTTAGGCGTTACTCTCGGTTTGCAGACGAGAAAAGTGAGGCAGGGAGGTTAAGTAGTATGACTAAGGCCGCACAGATTTTGAGAGGAGCCACAGGAAGATTTGAAGGGAGAGATGTGCAAGAAGAAGGTGATGTAAGTAGTATTTTGGGCTGGTTGGTTATTAGAGGGAAGTCAACAGGAGAATGCAGCCCTGTGAAAAAAGCCCCAATTTACATCTCTTAAGATCTGGGCTCCAGGCCAAACTCTGTTTACTAATCAAGTTACTTTTCTGTTTCCTCTTTTGGCAAGAAATAATGGTGTTTAGGCTTTTTTTGTGTACCACAGGTAATGGTGAAGAGGATCTGGGGAGATAGTCGAGGTAGAGGAGGAACCAAAACACACACACACACGTACATTTTATATATATACACATATATGTGTATGTGTATGTATATAATCCCTGCAGATTACAGAAATAGCATATTAATTTTTTGGGGGGGTGACTTCTGATTTTGACAAATGGTGGTTTAGACAATCCTGGGAAAGACTGCTATAGGGAAGCCAGGTCAGGTTATTGGTTCCTATAACCCATTCCATTATATACCACAGTGCTGCAACAACTAAAAGAGGGATCTTCTGACTAGAAAAGGGACAGAAAATGTGTCATCAGGGAGAGATTTAGTGACCAGGAAAGGTCACTTTTATGGACTATCCATAGCTAGTTTTAAAATGCAGACAGGTTGTCCTGTACCACTTGCCCCGAGGATGGAAAACGAAGGGTAAATTCATGAAGGCTCCTGTCCTCTCTCTTCTTCCTTTTCACACACTTAAACTGATGTAAATCAATTCACTATAAGGCTTTCTGTGTCAGGGTTTATCATCAGCATCTATGTGCATCTTTCCTTCCTGGAAAATAGGCAGAAAACGTTTTTTTTAACCCGTCAAGAAGGCATGAGGTTTCTTTCATGACTCTTCGAGCTCACTGTAACTTTAGTCACTGTATACCCTATAGACCGTAGTCACCAACCTCCTCTCAACATCCCCACTCCTGTTAATTCTTGTTCAGCAGGAGCTATGTTTTATCTGTCCAGTTTAACAAGCGTAGTAACTGGCTCAAAGTTATACGTACTGAACATACTGAATTGAGAGGCTGTTAAGACTTGCTCTCTGCCATCATGGACTAAGGGATGAGTAGAAATGGTGAGTAGTGACATTAGAAAGGAGAAAGGACATATCAATCTGTTGAAAGCAAGAGATAAGGTAACAACAGCCTTTTAGAGATGAAAGTATTCCCTGGTATTAGCACTGGCAGAAATCCCAGATCATAGCACATAATGCCTACTGTCAGTCCCCAGGAACTCTTCCTTGCTTAGTCTCTCACTCCCAACCCCGCTTATAGGAATCCTTGTTCCAGCTCCTGAAGGCATTACACAGGATCCTTTGTATGGGAAGGAATGGGGAATGCAAGTAAGTGGGGCATACTTTCTCCTTTACACTCTGGTCACTTTTATGAGCCTGGCTTGTCTTCTACCTCTCTGATTTTCCCAGACTTTCACTAGGCTCTCTGTTAGGTTTCTAAATATTATTGTTCCCCAGGATTTTGTCCTAAACTTTCATCCCTGCTTTCTCTCTTTGTTGTCACCAATCAAATTTATCTACCTCAATGACTGTCAAATCTAGGCGATTTGTAAAAAATGAACAGAGCGTCTGCTGGAACTAGGCACCAGCCTCAATGCCAGCTCTCTGTTGGGAATCTTTTCCTAGATGTCTCTTAGGCCCTTTAAACTCAACAAGTCCAACGTGGAAATGAATATTTTTCTCCACATCTTCTTCTGGGCTTACAGACTCTATCTCCATCAGTGATATTACCATACAGTCAGTATTTAAGTGAAAGCATTTGCGTTCTCTTGGTACCCACCTTTTTTTTTTTTTTAATTTCTCTGTCCTGGGGCGCCTGGGTGGCTCGGTCAGTTGGGTGTCTGCCTTCATTTTAGGTCATGAGCCCATGGTCCTGGGATAGAGCACCACGTCGGGCTCCCTGCTCAGTGGGGAGCCTGCTTCTCCCTCGCCCTTTGTCATTCCCCATGCTCTTACTCTCTCTCAAATAAATAAATAAAATCTATAAAAAAAATTTTCTCTGTCCAGTGAGTTAGTAAATCCCATTTCTTTTTTTATTTCTTTTTTTTCCCTAAGATTTTATTTATTTGACAGAGAGAGAGAGAGCACACAAGCAGGGGGCATGGGCAGAGGGAGAGGGAAAAGCAGACTCCCCACTGAGCACGGAGCCCAACACAGGGCTCAGTCCCAGGCCACTGGGATCACGACCTGAGCAAAGGCAGACACTTAACCATCTGAGCCACCCAGGTGCCCCAGTAAATCCCATTTCTCCCCCACCCCCAAGCTATGTATTTACTTATTTTTAATTCAAGTATAATTAACCTATAGTAATGTGTTCCTTTCAGATGTACAATATAATGATTCAACAATTCTATACATTACTTGGTGCGCATCATGATAAGTGTACTCTTAATCCCAGTAAATCCCATTTCTCGGATCCCTCCAGTTTTCGGCATGGTCTAGGTATAAGTCTTTACCATTCCTTGGCTAGACAGGGCCTTTGTAACTGGTCTCCACCTCAGCCCCTCCTCTTCCCCACAACTACAGTTCTTTCTCTAAAATTCTGCTCTGATTATGATGCTTCCCTGCTGAAAAACTTATGGGAACTCTTCATTGCTGAGATGAAGTCCCTTAGCATGGAGAGCCAATTCCAGCACAGTCTGGCCTCATTTTATCTTTTCAGCCTCATCTTCTGTCAGTTCCCTATCTTTATATGGCTGCTAAGGTTAACCATTGTGCACCTCCTTAATTGTGCGCCTGCAATGTCCTTTTTCACCTGACAAACCATTCATTCCTCAAGGGCACACATAAATGCCATCTCTCCTTTAAGCTTTCTTCGCTTCTGCCCAGCCAAACCAACCCACTCTGCTTATGTAGCACTTGGGGCGTACCTTTACCACAACACTTGTCACCTGGCATCAAAGTATGTACACTTCTCTAAAAAATATTAGTTTACACCTCTATCGCCCCCATAGAATGGGAGCTTCTTACAGGTGTGTCTTACCTTCTTTGTCTCCCCAAAGCCTGGAGCACAGTGTCTGCACATGGTAAGTACTCAGTTTCATAACTGAATGAAAATCCTTTCAGATTGCAACCTCCTATAGAAATATTTGTGCACTGAGATTGTATGGTAGGCCTAAAGAATCAGTATCTCAAAATGTCAGTTTCCTTCACATAACAGGTCTAGATAGTGAATTTTTTTCCTTCCTTCCTCCCTCCCTTCCTTCCTTCCTTTTTTATATTCCATATCTCTCCAAGAATAATTTCAAGCACTTTTACTTCTGTGTATCTTTTTTGGCAACTATGAGAATTTCATTCCAGGTTATTTGAATTGTGAATCAGACTTAGAAAAAAAGAAATTGAAATGGGGGAAGGGAAGAAATCTAAAAGAGAAGTGCTTGAAGTTTAAGCAGTGTAGCCATGGGAGAGATGAAGGAAGCAGATGGAAGTAAACCCCTGCACCTAAGCACTATCCTGCTGTGGAAACAAGCCATGTGGAAGGAGCGGACGCTGTGAGAGGAGAGGGGCCGACTGTTGGCAAGTCTGGCACAAACTCTAAGAAAGCCTGGTGGGTGTGTGAAAGAGTCTGGCCTTTCCAGAGGGCTGGGTGGCAATGTCTGTCAAGATGTAAGGTATACCTGCCTTTTGCCTAACAATTCTGCTTTTAGGAATTTATCCTAAGAGACCAATATGATGATGAGTATGTAAAGGTGTTTGAACGAAATTATATATTGGTGATATTGGACAGAATTTGAAATGTCCAGTGCCTGGGTGGCTCAGATAGTTGGGCGTCTGCCTTCGGCTTGGGTCGTGATTCCAGGGTCCTGGGATCGAGTCCCGCATCGGGCTCCCTGCTGGGCGGGGAGCCTGCTCCTCCCTCTGCCTCTGCCTCTGCCT